TTTGTGACCTCTGCTAGTTAGGAAGGGTAAGGGTAAGTGGTGGGAGCCATGGCACTGCAGCTGTGTCTCTTGGAAATTTTATTTTTGAAGTCATCACTTCTCTTTGCATTTGGAAGCAAGTGCTCTTCTGACCCATTTTGTCATTCTTGTACTCATTCATTGCTGACTCGGCCTCCATTGCTATCACTACAAACTACTTTAAAATTTAGATGCTCCTGCGTCCAATGTTATTTTTCCGTTTACAAATTCCTAACATAATAGTCTAAATTCAAAAATTAACTCGGTACAAGTCTTTTTTACCTCCTCTAATGGTTAATACCGCTGGAAATTTAGGAGTCATTTGGAGGAGAACAGTTGAATAACTCTTTTATTTACTACTTTTAAATCTATCATCGACAAATTTTAACCTGATCAATTCACTTTGTTGACATACGAATGACAATTTTTACCATAAAATTGACACCCCTAAATTTGACAATTATACGTACTAAGGGTCAATATATAAGTCTCGTAAGAAGAAAGAAGCTTCTTCTTATTCTCTCCTTTCTCTTTACTCTACTTGTACACTATTCATTGTCTACAATATGTTTAAAGAATTATCGGCTGCAGCTCTCCGTTTAAATTAAAAGGAGTGAAACGCCTATAATTGATGCATAATGTATTGTTACAATCAACAAGTCTCATCATTTGCAATATTTTGCTGCATGAATAAGATATGGGAAAGATCTGATATCATGGAATGGATACATTTCAGAAACCCAGAATACTCGTAAGGATGTGAAAGCTGAAGTTGCCATATCCAGTAAAGAAGATAGCGTTTTCCATTTCAATGTGAAACAAGGAACATTGTTTAAGGTCTATGTCGACATGCCATTTACGTAGAAAAAGCAATGCTGGTAATGATTCTCAGCGGCGAATTTTATCTAAAGGATGAAGTGCCACCAATACTTTTTTGAAGTGCTCTTGCTAGCTTTTTAATCAACAAGTTGCTATTATGATTGGATGACACTCTTACCACTAGCGGGGACTTATATAAAATTTTATACTAAGATGAACTTATAAAATTTTAAAAGGTGAAAATAAATTATGAATAGAAAATACAAGACAATTCTTAAATTATACCAACTTTTCTCTCTAATTCCTTGATCTCTCCGAAATTTACTACTAAAATTGTCTCATATATGAGTGGGAAAAGTACAAGGATTGCATATTTTCTTACCTATCAAACAAGAGATATGGCTTTGTACCTATGGTGTATATTGCTGGCCCCTGCTGGTGCCTTGTTGTGGGGTAGTGTCCTTAGTTTTGGTTCTTTCAGTGCACAAAATGCTGTAAATTTGCAATTCTTCCAGGGCAAAGCACATGGAGACTTTTATGAGGATATCAAATCAAAGTGTTTGATTTAGACCATGTTTTGCTTTTGTAAAATTTGACAAAAGTTTGAAGTTTTTTTGACCAGAGTATTTTAATTGATTTGGTTTGACTGGCTCTGACCTGGTTCGTCCATGCTACATATATGTCCAAGCTACATATAAGTCCATGCCCCTTAAAAGAAAGGATAAAGATTTATTTTTAAATTATTTTTTAACGATTCCTACTTAAGGAGAGAAATGAAAATTTTACTCTTATCGAGTATTTAACCTGCAATCTAGAAGAGAATGAATGTGTCAACTGAAAATTTTTAACCATCTACTTTAAAGATTGTTGACTAAATTATCTATTTTTTATTTTTATCAAAAATGCGTTTGATAGAGGAATAAAGATTAATTTTGGCTATTTTATTTTTATATTAGTAGACCACATTAGTCACTGAACTTACATTATGCAACACAAGTTAGTCTCTCCTCTTAACATCATCTATTATAATTTTTTATTCACTTTAGTCACTAAATTTATATATTTTAGTGCACATAAGTCATTGAATCTTTAATATGTTCATGTTGAACTTACCTATTTTGATAACTTTTTAAGTGGCAATATGTGAATTGCCCGTCCAGCTCAGTTGGTAGAGCACAAGGCTCTTAACCTTGTGGTCGTGGGATTCGAGTCCCATGGTGGGCAATTTATAATTGGAGGTTTTCCACGGAAGTTGCTCTCAACCTGGCGCTGGGGGCAACCTACTACCCTACCTCCCCTTACCCCATTACATATGGGAATAGTGTCAACTAATTTAAGTGGCAATATGCGAAGGATTTGGTGGTGTATTTTACACCCAAATGAAGCTCACATATCGAATTTCTAACTAGAAATATAATAATGGAATTATGGATATTAGAGATGCTATTTAAGAAGACTAGGTTGTTATTGTTAGGCAAAGACACACTCAATCAAATATACATTTCAAAAGTCTTCATCAATGGTGAAGTGGTTTAATATATTATTTGAACCAAACGATTTTAATGGTAAATGGATTGTTATTATCCCTTAAGATTTTAAGTTTCAGTACTGTGTATATGGAGCTACGATCGTTTATTATTAAATAATTAATAATCTTTAGATATATATTATCTTATATTCATCTGAAAATTACAAGAAAAAAGAAAATTTTGACGCAATGAATGTTGAAAAGATAAATTATATTTTCATTTTGATCTTATTCAAGTCTACAAATTTTCCTTTGTCTTTCTCGCCTTTTCTCTTTGGTGTTTGCCTTTCTTTTTTTGTTGTAATTGAAAACGACAGTAGCAAAGAATATAATAAAGTGATTATAAAATAGTATATTTTTAATTATTCAAACTTGATATCTTTATAGAGAATAACGTATTTTTATTATTAAATTTATAGATTATTTTTTAATAGTTTGAGATGATTACAATGTAGTATCTATTAAATTTTTTTTTAAAAATTGAGGTCACAAACACCCTACAAATGCATCTGCTCAAACCCAAAATTTTTGGGAAAAATAACACTGATTTTAATTGTTAAGACCACTAGATGAATTCAATTTATAAACTAAATTTCATGTATAAAAAACTAATTTATTAATGAATATAATACAAGGATTTCTTTTTAATTCTGCATGTTATCATATGCCCTTTGGGGTTTTTCGAATTGGACTTCTAAATTATATTTGAATACGTAATTTGTGTTTGTAGGTACTTTTTTTTATTACGTTTGATTCTAATTTGTATTTATTGTTTCGTGGTTTTTTTAATTTAACAATTAACTTATGACTCCCATTTTATTATTATTTATAATCAGCCCCTCCTAAACTTTCACATAGGTTCTGTCCATAGTCCTTTTTTAGAAGTGTAATATATCTAACAGTAATTTTACTATTAAATACTTTTATTATTAAATTGTCTTATAGACAAAAACATCAATTATATTCCTTTGTGTTGTGGATCAAATCATTCTTGTATTCCTTTTAAAGGTGGGGTAGTCACCTTATTTATATCCCAATTAAAGGGTTCTTAATCTCAAGTGGCTCCCCAATACTTTACATTTTAAAAAAGAATTTAGGTTTAAACTTTAGAAACAATATCATTTTAAAAAAATATTCTTAATTAATTATGCTTTTTTCTTCTTAAATTCGTATGGCTTACAAATCAACATTTTGTTTTTATGTAGAATTTGGATTTTATTTAATTAGGTCATACAAATTACCTTTATCAAATACTGTTAAATGAACTTGAATTTTAATATCTACAATCACTTCACACGTTTAAATCACCTTAAATATATATTTTTTTTAAAAAAAAGTAGAAGAAAAAATTGAAATTCAAACATTTTAAATACCTATGTTGCTTATAATACTCCATTCTGTTTTTTTAATCAATCACTAGTGTCTGATTTATTCATCAACTAATAAACATCAGGTACTACAGAGGCGAGGTCGACCCTATTAACTCAATTTGCTATATTCACAAACGCCAGATGTTACTTAAAATATTCCATTCATTTGTAATGGATGCATTTAATTTTGAGTTATATTATTTATTTATGAGACATGAGTTGCCATAATCTCATTTTTTATGTAGTGAGACAATCCTTCCTCTATCCCCAAATCAATAAATAATAATCTCAATCATATTTCCATCCATGTAGGGAACATGTGCTTTATATCCCCTTTGTTGTGACTATGGATTCCAACATTAATATCCATTTTTATTATATTTGCGATGCAATTTGTTTATAATAGCTACTGCATGGCCCAATGATTGAATTTCTTACTCATTCCACTCAAGTTAAAAGTTTATACATAATTCATAGAGTCGTCTCAGTTATTAAAAAAAAGTGTTATTCATTTTTTTAGATCCTAGATTCGAATATTTATGTTTATAAGGTGTGTGTACGTAATAAATAATTAAAAAAAGATTTTGAATATATATTACTAACTTTATAATCCCCGAGACTACCTTTATATATCCTAGCAATCATGGATTTGTGGGAACCCATAATCAACCACTTAATTAAGGTAGTGGCAATCCCACTTCAATAAAGTAATTATACATTTTATCACTACCAAGGTTCCTTCCATATCTCTTGAAACATACACTTCAAAATAAAATAAAATAAAATCGACCATGATCAATGTATAAATCCAAGTCTAATATATGATTCCATTATTTTGATAATAATATTAATCGAGTTAAAATTTAATTGAGAAAACTAATGATAATAAATTAGCGAGCTTATCTTCATGCTAAGGTGGTCCAATCAAAAGTATGTCCATGCCATGAAACCCTGCTAACATATAAACAATGGTGAAACTGAATATATATACATATATATATATATGATTATAAAGAAGAGTTGAGGAGTAGTTTAGCTGTTTCTCAGCCATAAAAATCATTGGTTTTTAGCTACAAAGTACCATGTCTTCTATTGTTTAACAATTCCCACTTTCTACTGGCTAAGTGCGTTTGCCCGTAGTACTACTGTTTTCTTCCCCGACAACCCCACTTGTGCATTACTACAAAAAATGACGCCATAAAACTAAAACAATCCTCCATTTTCTTCCTTGTATAAATACCTTTACAACTCCTCCCCAACAATTCCATCTTCGCTGTTTAATTTTTCACTTTGTACAAGTTTTGCTACAAAAAATGGCATCGAGTGAGGAATTCAATGTGACAACAGCGTCACCTTCAGCAGCTCCACACTTGACATGGCATTCACCGGTTCCTTACTTGTTCGGAGGCTTGGCCGCCATGCTCGGTCTCATAGCGTTTGCGCTTCTCCTCCTCGCTTGTTCTTATTGGAAACTGTCGGGGTACCTCGGGAGCGGCGAGGGAAACGAAGGGGATAATAGAGATTTGGAAGAAGGAGAAGGTAAAGGAGAGCAAACCCAGAAAGGAGGAGCTGCTGTTATGGAACAGAAGTTTCTTGTGATAATGGCGGGACAAGTAAAGCCAACGTTCTTGGCCACCCCGATTTCTTCAAGCGGGTCTTCTTTCTTCGGCGACGCCAGTGAAAAGAGCTGTTGCTGTGCTGCTGAGAAGGCTGAGAAATTGGAGGAGATGTCAGGTCGGGAGACTCAGAACCATTGAATTCTTCATTTTCTCCTTGTTTTCTATATTTTCCGGTGATCTCCTTGGGTGGATTATGTAGTGGTGCAGGTTTTGGTTTTTGGATCCTCTTGTTGTTTGTAGGTGGGATTTTGTAGTGGCATAGACGTTGTTTGCAAAATCCAGAAAACTGCATGTAAATTATTGGAGAGTCAAGGAATTTGCCAAATTGGCTCTCACTCTCAGTCTCAGACAGCAAAGGTCAAGAGAATTAGAGCAAGGCAAGTTCCTGATCAGGGATGATAATGGATTAGATTCAAATTCGAGTAGAGTAAAATTTTTTTCATCTTAATTTTATATCCGTTTTGATCCGATGATATCCCATTCTAATCTGAATTTTTATTAGACTCAATTAAATCGTATTAAAAATAATTAAATTTGAGTGAAATTGTTATCCCTGTTTCTGATGCGGCGTGGTGAAGCAGAAAGTCTCAGTTACCACAGCAGTTTCAATTTCCAACATATAAAAAGATTCCACTATTGCCGAGCAATCAATGTCTGGAAATTACAAAACCATCCCTGCTTTTATGGATAGCTTAGCTGCAATTATCCATCCCAGGTTCTAGTTTAATTCCAGCTGTAATTATACTTCAATATTACTTTTGGTATATCTGGGATTTGATTCTATTAAACAATGTAATTTATTTTTAATTTTACACGTGTTTAATATCGTTAGATGAATGAAAATAGACCGTTGAAATTAACAGTAAAAAATAATTATTAACTACAAAATTTTTGTTCTTGATATATATGTCTATTCTAAAAAATGTTTCTAAATCCACTACTGAACGTAATCAAAAACTGCCATATTCTGTCCGACTTGGACCAATGCTCACTAACGCTTAAAATGTAATAATTCTTTTTTATTTATTTGCCTGAATTAGATTTGTCAATTTACGTATGTGAATTGTATTTTCGCGATCACTATGTAAATAGAATTATTACATAGTTTAATAATTGCATTGAAATTTTAGTGCATTGAACGAATCATGTTGATTACATAAATTTGTCCAATTATGGTCGAGAGCTATTTCATCAATTATGGTCGTTAATCTGTCCAAGTTTGTTATGAACTTTGTTCCTACATTTCATAATTTAAATTTTAAGACGATGTGTTCTCGTTGTAAGACGATGTATTATAACATATAATGATAATAATGAATATAAGTAAAGATGATGTTGTCACGCTCGGTGAGCATAGATGAACACCGTTAATGGTGAGCACTATTAAATTAATTTGTAAAATATTAAACTATAAAGTACTAATCGTGAACTAAAAAGAGAAAAAAATAGATATCAAAATTTATATAAAACATTCTAACGGATAAAATTATGGATAGAAGAAGACAAAATTTTATTATGACAAAAAAGGAATTATAAGAAAATTATGACTTTACGCGATTTGAAAGTCCGTTTAATAAACATAAATTTAACTGGAGGAGGAATTTATTATTTTTTATCGATATAAGTTATATGTCAAAATATCATACTAATAAAAAAATTATAAATATTTAAAATTCATCTATTCATATAAAAATTTAAAGAAACAAAATACATCGATAATAATATTATTTAGAATTGTGTCTAAATTAACTTTTCAAGAGATGAGAATTCATGAACTAACATAATAAATATAGATATTTAAACTAAAACTATAAATATAAATCAATTTAAAAAATTATTTAAAAAATTATAATCAAGTGAAATGAAATTAAAAGTTGAATACTTATTAACTTGCTTAAATTCATCAACTCAAAGAAGATGAACACCTCAAAGAAGATAAACAATCAAATAGGAAAAACACATAAATTTTTGTATATAATGAAATCAAAAATGACAAAGGAAAATAAAATTTTAATCATCTAAAAATAAAATAATAATGCGAAAAGATAGAAGTTAACTAATTTTAATAAATAATATTTAAGTAATTTCTAAATTCTAAAGTAGTATGCACATTTTTCTTTTGGAGAAACCAAATGTAATAACTTATTATATATATATTTCATTTTTTAAATATTTTTTAGGGGAGGTCATGACCTCACTAGTCCCTTATTAAGGGTTTGTCGTTGCATCTAATTTCTATTTTTTAGTATATATTTATGGGGATTAGTTGAATACAAAATAAATTTACATAAAAGAAATTTACTCAGATTGAGTTTTCTATTCTTTATCAATATCTAACTGCAAAGTATAGTTCTGTATGGACTCAACTTGTATGTGTTTTATTTATTTGTCAAAGAAAAATTTTACAACGCTGGTCGAGCGTGGATGGACACCGTTAATGATGAACACCTTTAAATTAATTTATAAAACATTAAATTATAAAGTACTAAACCTATAATTATAAATTAGTTTAATATCTAAATATAATTTAATTAAAATACAATATTTATAAAACAATAGTTTTTAGGGTAAACTATACCATTGACCACCTAACTATTTACCCCTTTTACTTTAACCACTAATTTTTCAATTTTGTGAATTGAGTCACCAACTATTTAAATATTGTCAATCAAGCAACTTGCCGTTAAATATTAACGGAGGAGATGACGTGGTAGTTAATAATATTTTTATAATAACACATTGAGTCCTCATTACTTACATATTCTATTAATTTGGTCCTAACTTTTAATTAATTCAATAAATTAAAAAGAGCTGAGAAATTGGTTTTTGGAGAAAACTCAAAGTAAATTTCTTTTTATGTAAATTTATTTTGTATTCAAGTTCTAATCCCCATAAATATACACTAAAAATTAGATGCAACGACAAACCACTTGTGAGGTCATGACCTCCCCTAAAAAATATTTAAAAAATGAAAAATATATTTGTATATATATACACACATGTATAATAAGTTATTACATTTGGTTTCTCCAAAAGAAAAATGTGTATATTACTTTTTAATTTATTGAATTAATTAAAAGTTAAGACCAAATTAATAGAATGAGTAAGTAATGAGGGCTAAGTGTGTACTTATACAAAATTTATCAACTGTCACATCATCTCCTCTGTTAATATTTAACGGCAGGTGGCTTGATTGACAAGATTTAAATAGTTAGATGATCAGATTGATAAAATTAAAAAATCGGTGATTAAAGTAAAATGGGTAAATAGTTATGTGTCAATGGTATAATTTACCCTAAAAACTAATGTTTTATAAATATTATATTTTAATTAAATTGCATTTAGTTTTCTTTAACTAATTTATAGTTATATGTTTAATATTTTATAATTTAACGTTTTATAGATTAATTTAATAGTACTAATCATTAACGGTATTCATCCGTGCTTGTTGAATGTAGCATCATCTTCTTTTGTCAAGTGAGTTGCATCACAAATTCTTTGGGTCATGTCAAATGGAATTTGGATCACACAACTCTAACACTTAACTTGATAAACTTGATATGAATCCGATTACCTCAACCAATTTATCCAACCTGAGACCTAATATGTACCCGAACATGATAGTTCAAACTTGATCCGAAACCCAAAACCCAAAACAAACTGAATTGAACAAAAATCGACATGGATTTTAGTTGAACCGATATGGACCTGTAACTAATTTAACCCAAAGCAAAAACAAACGGAACCAAAAACACTTATAATTTAACTTGACAAGATCTTATTTAAATAGTAAATAATCTCAATTTTAATCCAATAATTGAATCGAAGTGAATAAATTATTATTTATTTTTTTAAAAATATGTAAATAGTAAAATGATGTATATTTTATTTTACTACTAATTAATCACCACTTTTGATAATAACTTAATATCATATTTCTTCCTTTAAAAGACCTCCTTCATATCTAATACGACATTTTCTACTTAAATAATAATAAGAATTTTGAATTGAAAGGTTATAAAATAAAATCATCCACTACATAAAATTTTAGTTTATGTAATTATACATTACTTAGATAATATAATGTAGTTAATTTTAAAAGAAAAGAAATTCTACTTTTCTTTTCAAATACAATGAAACGTAAAGCTCAAATAAAGAAAAAATAGGGAAAAATCAGAAAAATAATAATGCAAAGGGGTAAATTGGAGGGGGCACTATTGTTATACACCTATGTTCACGAACATAAACGAACTGAATACACCTATGTTCGTGTTCGTCCGTTTATTAAATAAACATAAAATTTTTGTTCATACTCGTTTATTTAACTTAATAAACAAATGTTATACAAACAGTTCATCGAACGCTCTATTTATTTACACCCCTAAATCTTAGAGATTAAATTAAAAGTTTTTGTAGTTATATGACTAAAATTACAATAATCAGATGGGTGATAGTTTACCCAAAAATAAAAGCAATTTTTTTATTTGTTTTAAAGTCGTAGTCTAGGTAGTACTAAATAAATTTAATGAATTCAAACACATGTTGCTTAGTTAACTCCGTTGAAGCTACTTCTTATGAGAAGCCGGCCAAGGACGGCTCCTGACCCCATCTGAGATAACTACAGATACGCCTCTAATCTCTTTTTAAATTCAAGGGAACAAACCACCAAATTCTGAAACTCAGCTGAGTTTTGGTAACGATTCCACCATAGCCAAAAGCTATGGGATCAATCATGAGTTGCTGCAGTTCAGAGAAGGTCGATGAAGGGTATGCAAAAGTCATCTTTACACTACTCTTCTCCTTATTAATTCCATCATACTGAAACAAAAATGCATGCTTTTTTTTGTATGGAAAGTGTTGTGGTTGCTCCAGGGAATACGACATGGAGAATGTTTACGTATAAAGAGCTGCATACTGCTACCAATGGTTTCAGCGACGATAACAAGCTCGGAGAAGGCGGCTTCGGCAGTGTTTACTGGGGTAAAACTAGTGACGGTCTTGAGGTATTCCCACACCTTAATTTTGTTCAGACTCGTCTATTTAACCGAATAAATGAATATTATACGAACTATTCACAAACCATTCACGGAACGATTCATTAACAATTCATCTCTGTTCATTTAACCCCTATAAACTGCTACGATTCGAGTAGATTTTATCGTTCTTGAATAAATGCAAGCAGATAGCTGTGAAAAAATTAAAAGCCATGACAGTGAAAGCCGAAATGGAATTCGCGGTGGAAGTTGAGGTTCTCGGAAGGGTTAAGCACAAAAATCTCTTGGGACTGAGGGGTTACTGCGTTGGGACCGATCAAAGGCTCATAGTCTACGATTACAAGCCTAACCTGAGCGTGTTGTCCCATCTGCATGGTCAATTTGGTGGAGATGTTCAATTGGATTGGAA